AACACTAAACCAAAAAAAAAAAAAAAAAAAAAAAAAAAAAAAGAAAAGAAAAAGAAATGCTCAGGTGGGCGGTGTTCTGGGGCAGGGCACGTGGTTACCAGGTATAAAGTTCTAGGTTCAATCCCTAGCACCAAGAGGCAAGGGGATGGAAAAATTAGTGTGGTATATTTTGTTTATTTTACACAATTCTAAAACATTTCAAAGACAATCTACCCATGTTTGTTTCAAACAGGATCTCACTATGTAATCCAGCAGGCCTAGAGGTCACAACCCTACTGCCTCAGCCTCCAGAGCCCTGAAATCACAAGAGTGCAACCAACCACTGTGTTCTGCTTCAAGGATTTTTGTATGTTTTCTTAGATGACTAACCATTGGCCACAAATACAGCAAATAATCTTTAAAACAAGATGTGGAAGAGATAACCTGTCAATGTAACTGTAACTTCTGAAAACTTTATAACAAACACGCAAAAAGCAACCACAGGGGCACTGCCTAGACAATTCTTCCAAGATCCTAACTTCACCACATACTCAGTTTTACCCAGTAGAGAGGTGACACTCTTTCCCTAATCCATTTCCTAAGCTATCAAAATTCCCTTCCAGAATACTCAGGGAACTTAACCCAAAAAGTTATCATCCCCATGCTTGGTTTATGGTGTCATCTGAGTGGTGATGACCACAGGTAGGCGATGAGTTACGTCTAGAACAGCACACTCTCTGTGTGTGCGCGTGGTTTTTTATGTATACTGCAGCACTGTCCATTTACACAGGATCCAAATTCAAGCTTTTTTGTTTTTGTTTTTTTGAGACAACATTTCTCTGTGTAACCATCTGGAACTTGCCCTGTAGACCAAACTGGCCTCTAACTCAGAAATCCTCCTGCCTCTATCTCCTGAGCACTCGGATCACAAGCATGCACCACCACCTCCCAGCTCAAGTCCAAATATCTTAAAATATCTGGCATGAGGTAGCAAAATTCATGAAATAAAGGCAAAGATCTATTGCAGTAAGGAAAATGCAACTAATGTCTTCTTTGAGCTAGCCACAGCTGGGCATGAGCCCAGTTAAACCTTTCAGAAACACTGCTCCATCTATTTGGATACATTCTCAGTTTTAAAACTGCAAAAATGGGGGTGGGGGAGAAATCATACTACAGGGAAACTGGGTCCATCCCAAGTTCAAGTTGTGCATAAATGTGCACACACTCATAAAATCTTGTAAGAGCAAAGGAAGCCAGCAGTGTTAGCATTTCTGAATGAATCATAACGCTTTCCATTACAGTCACTTAGCTGGAAGACCATCTCAGATGAACCAGATCAAAAGTCGGAACAGTCTTTTGTGACAGTCTAAAGAGTAGCCATGTTCCTATTGAGTGGCCTGGACAATTCACCAGCATTCTATAATTCAAAAGCCTTTTAAATATGTAATAGTCTCTGATCACACTATAAAGGACAGTTACATGTGTGTGGAAAACAAACTTCAATGAATGAAAAAAATTAAAAATATTCTTAGCGCCCCCCGTGTCTGCGCTCTGTGCGCTGGCACCTAGTTTGCGAGTTTCAGACAAGGGAGCTGGAGGTTAAAATACACAGACACACACAGACAGAGACAGTGACACGGGTCATCCTTGAATTCCCCAAGAATGCCCCTTTATTGTGTTCAGGGGCAGATTTAATAGAGATAGCCACACCCCAGCCAAACCCACCAGAAACCACTCTCCTGCCATCAGGAACTCCTGAAGGTCTCGTGCTCAGAGCAGCTGTAGGCACTCAGATCAGGGGATTACAGGAAATTCAGGATCTGGGGTCTCACTGCTCCCAATAGGGACTACCAATAGGTGGTTGAGTTATGGCTCAGTCATGCAATTAAATGTCACACAGGCATTAAAAATAGCTGTTATGTTCCACAGAGAAACCCAGTCTCAATCCCCCCCCCATGGTTGATAAGAGAGACTAGAGGTATAGTTCAGTGGCAGGGTTTACCTAGAAAATGTAAGGCCTTAGGTTGTAGGCCCTACTCTCAGCACTGACTTTAAAAAAAAAAAAAACTAAAACAAAAAATTAAAAACAAAAATGAGATATAAAAATCTAATTTTGCTAATAATTGTGTGCCTTTGTACATACATTGATGCAAGACCAACATATGAACATTCATGAATGCACATGCCTGAGACTATGGACACATCCAAGTGTGATTAGGAGCCTACAGGCATGAATGTAAAGATGGCCCATATAGACATGCATGCGTACATAATATACATGTACACATATGTACCTGCTAATGGACACTGCCTGTTTTGGGCCTTAAGCCTTTTATGTAGGTATGTACATAAATTCTCTTATAATCACAATCTGACAGCTTTGTTGACTTGAGCACGTCACTGAGACCCTAAGAGACCTGACTTCTATAAAATGTCATCTATAAAATGAGAACAAACCTTGAGTCATCAAGGCGTTGTCAGGGTTCAATGAAGACGGATTTAAATGGAGTCCGCCGTGCCCGGCACAGATCTGCACACGTGCACACTGAGCACACTTTTTCACGTCTACTCAGCTCCAATCCACAGAAATACCGACCCATTCGTAAACTTTGCTTATCCATGGGGACTGATTTGGTGCTGCCTCGACCTTTGCTTTCAAATTCTACAATTTTTTTCTAGGAGGATTTTTTCAAGTTTTATTGAAGATTATTTCTTGAAAATTCTCCAAATTTATTTTGCTGTTGTTGAAGCAGGATCTTCCTGTACCTCAGGCTGCTTTCAACTAATCTGGCAGTCCTTAAACTTCTGATTTTCCTGCCACGGCCTCCCAAGTGCCAGGTTAGGGACATGAGCCACCACGCCCAGCAAAATCATTACTTTTAGAGTAATGATATAAAGATGACCCATCTCTAACATACCTAAATTCTGCATAATCAAAAAGTTCCTAAACACAGACGCCAACAAAAGCATTATTTTAGCACTCTAACAAATTTTCTGTGTTCTAGCCGTAAACAAGCATTACCCCGTAGCTCAGTAAGATGGCAGTACAAAGAAAATCCACAGTTCTTCTGCTTGTTTGCCTATCCAAGTCGGGATGGAAAGATAGACATTCTTAAGGTTCAGGGGATTTGTAAACAGGTTGATAAAAGCCTGTGACTCGAATTTATTAAAACAGGAAAGCACTGGATTCTCACTCAAGGTCACAGAATAAAGGCAGAGAAGACGTAAAGATAGACTGCGGGGCCACAATTTGGAGTGTTTATGAAACCAAGAGGCTAAATCCTTAACTAGTCATTTCAGGAGTCCGGGCGGGGGCAGGAAGGAGTGCGGATTACAACACACCGCTGAAGACAGCAAAACAAACCAGTAGCCGACTGCGCCAGGGTTAATCTGCAACACGCTTTAATCGTACTGGTTTTATTTCTACAGCGTAGTAAACGTAGAACACTTAAATCACGCCATTTTATGTCGGAAAAAGCAGGACTGACGTTTTCGTATGCAAATTATACTGAAAACATTTGAAATTTGACAAAACAGAAGCAGTTCAGTCAACAACTCTCTGGCTCACCTCCACAATTACGAGGTTTTAGATTATTATCTCATCCCCCCCCCCCCAAAAAAAGTCTCTAATTTCCCGAGGAAACCTACCCACAGGCCGGTAGGGGGAAAAAAATCTTTTCTCCCTAGGGCCTTAATTTACAGATCCACACGGCAGATAATAATCCAATCATCTGGATATATTTAGTCCCTAGATATGCTATTAAATCTCTTTAAACGTCATTTCCAAGCGTGCAAAATACACCCGGGCACACGCCCTGCAGCCTCACGGTAGCCCTACATTTTGGGGCCTCTCTCCAGCCAAACATCGCCTCTTCCAAATTGATTAAAAGCTGCGGGTTCGCCTCTCGCTTCATTTTTTTGACTCGAGTCTAAAAGGGAACAAGGGGGATGGGTTTGGACAGAAGCGAGGCTCTGAAACCCTGAGTTTTGGCGTCAAGGTTCTGAAACAGCCGCCGGCGGTAGCACGGGCGATTGCGATCTTTGCTTCTAAACCCATTTCCTTTACCTTTTTGACTTAGAAAAATAGAAAAGAAAATCCCCTCCCCCCCCCCCGATTTTCCAATGACATCAAACCAACGCTGAGAGAAGGAAGGACGGATGCCTCCAGGTCGGAGCCCCCAGAGCGCCACGAGTTCGGCCTCCGGGCCCCGCCCGACCTAGGAACCAGGGTTAACGAGGTCCCCGCCCGGCTGGCCCGAGCCGCGACAGGCCCAGGCCCCGGGGTCCGGCCCAGGCCCGGCGCGGCCTGTAAAGCCCCGGCGTCGAGTGGCCGGCGGAGGGCGGGGCGGGCCCAGGGCCGCTCACCTGCTGGTACCCGGTGCCGCAGGCCGGCTCCACGGCTGCCAGCGCTGCCAACGCCAAGGCCATGGCGCAGCGGGCCTCAGGGAAGGAGCGCGAACGAGCGAGCTGAAGGGGCGCGGACGCCGCGGCCAAGGGTCGCCGGGAAGCCGAGAGGTACGCGCCGCGGCGTGGGGATGGCCGCTGCTAGCGCTGGCACGCTCTCCTCGGGCACTGAGCGCCGCCGCCGAGGCTCCGTCGCTGCCCCTGGGGAGGAGGCGGGGGCGACGACGACGACGCTGCGCCGCCGCCCCGCCCCCTCCGCGCCCCGCCCCCCCCGCCCCCCCGCGCCCCGCCCCGCCCCGCCAGGCCCGGCCGCGCCCCTTGCCCCCGCCCCCGACTCCGACAGTTTCCGAAATCGCTTTTCTATAGGTTTGAGGTTTCTATCGGTTCCCTACCTAACTGCCATCCTCAGACTTCAGACGTCAACCAGTCGTAGAGCAGGGGCCTCATCCCTCCAGTCAAGACCCTTAGGATGTATGTAAATTCGAGGATATATGTAAATGCCTATTTAAATATCCTCTAATAAAGTTTTATTGTGACACGGCCCCTTCAGTCTAGTGTGGCCTGCAAACGCTGAAGAATGTATACTGCCTGACCTTTTATAGAGAAAAAAATGCTGACCCTAAATCTTAGACTGGGTTATTTATAATACAGCCTCGTGTATGTAGCCGTTTAGTAGATCTTTTGTTGATACAGAATCCATATTATCTGAAACAAAACTCTCTGAGGAAGTGGCATTAAAGTCAAACTTGAAGGATTTTATTCAGATAGCAGGAACGTGTGCTGTGGCAGAGACAAGAGAGAGCTAGCCTCACAGAACTGAAAGGCTCTCAGCCCTTGGGTGGAGGAGCTACTGTGAGCGGTGGTTCACAGATGAGGAAATTGTGTGAGAGGAGTCAGTTCAGCTCCTGAAAGGACGAGGTGGAATGCGAGTCCATTAAGCCAGCTTTCTGAACCATTACCACACAGTTTAAATTATAAGCTTTGTGGAGACAAGAGTCTCTCAGGTGTGAGAGACAGTTATGTTTTAAGTCTTAATTACCGGGCCTAAGAGATCCAGGAAACAAATGCCTCTAACTTGCAAGCCCCTTGCCCCAGGACAGACAGTTCCTAAAACGCTGGAGGCTGCTGTTTAGGTGAAATAACAGGTCACGTGTTTTCACTCCCCTGAGCAAGTTGTTTAACCCACCTGCACCGAATGTGCTGGATCACAAGTGGGTGGAAGTTCATTGGCAGGAAATATATCATCAAGTATGCTTGCCCTCGATTGGACCCGATGGAAAATAAGCCCCTGCAAACTGTGACTGGGGGCCATTTTCTGGCAAACCAGAGATGGACTTGGCCAGAGTCCATCCACCTGGCCAGTATTTAATTAAAACTTGCTTCAAACTTGACTTTTTTTTAAATATTTTATTTATTATGTATACAAGATTCTGTCTGTGTATATGTCTGCAGGCCAGAAGAGGGCACCAGACCTTATTACAGATGGTTATGAGCCACCATGTGGTTGCTGGGAATTGAACTCAGAACCTTTGGAAGAGCAGGCAATGCTCTTAACCCCTGAGCCATCTCTCCAGCCCCCAAACTTGACTTTGAACTGCTGAAGTGGTCTTATTCTCCACCGGTGGGATTGACACATGCCTTCCATTTTCTACAGTGAATGAACGGAGCAGCTGCGTAGCACGCAGTTCAGGAACTGTTTCTTCTTATCACATTCAGCCGTCTAGAATCACTTCTAAGAACCCGTCTAACACAGAAGGAGGCATAGGGGAGAATTCTTCACTCTTTAAAGCGTGTTGAGATTCCTGTTTCTTTTTGGTTGTCTTTCCAAGTTAGTACTCTGCAGTTCGTTATAATAGGATTATCTTAGCTTCTAATTTTNGTATACTTTTTATATTGCCCTGATCTGTAGCTCCAAGTGCTATGGAAGTAGCCTCCCACAGTCCACCATACATTGAAAGTCTTTGAAGTGGCCTTTAGCATGGTCCTTTTTTTTTTGGTTTTTGGTTTTTCGAGACAGGGTTTCTCTGTGGTTTTGGAGCCTGTCCTGGAACTAGCTCTTGTAGACCAGGCTGGTCTCGAACTCACAGAGATCTGCCTTCCTCTGCCTCCCAAGTGCTGGGATTAAAGGCGTGCGCCACCGCCGCCCGGCTTAGCTTCTAATTTTGAAGTTTAGATATATCTTTATGTGTTGGTTGTATTTTAAAAAAACATAGCTGTTTTGAGCTACCCTAAGATTTCCATGTATAGGAGTGCATTATAATCAAGTAAAAATTCATGGGTCAGTGGTAGCTCACTCCTATAATCCCAGCACTCAAGAGGCAGAGGCAGGCAGATCTCTAATTTCAAGGCCAGCCTGGTCTACAGAGCGAGTTCCAGAACAGCCAGCCATAGCTACACAGAGAAACCTTGTTTCAAATAATAAAATAAAATATTCTAGAGAGAGAGAGAGAGCGATGGCTTAGTGGTTAAGAGCACTGGCTGCTCTTTCAGGGACCCAGGTTCAATCCCCAGTACCCACATTGTAGAAACATCTGTAACTCCAGTTCCAGGAGATCAGACTCGTTTTTAGCCTTTAAGGGCATTGCAGGCACATGGTGCATAAACATACATGCAGGGAAAACACCCATACACACAAAGTAATTTTCAAATGAAATATCTAGATACATATATTTTCACTCTGGGTCTTTCCATATCTAAGCCCCTATATAACTCCCTATTTCTAAGTATTAGCACTGGGTATGTATTTATGTGCTAAGAGCATAGACTTAGCAACATGCTAAGCTGGGAAGTCGGTTAGGCTGCTTGCTCCCTTTCTCTTTTCTTTTTCCTCTTCCTCTTCAGTGCTGGGAACTGAAGCCAGTGCCTTGAGAACGCAAGACAAGCCCTCTCTGCCTCTGAGTAGCATGTCAAATCCAGAAGGACAAACTTTACATGTTATTTCCTACAGCGAACCAAACAAACACAATTTCCTTCCATGTGGTCTTATATAAGAAAAAGGGAAAGCCTGATTTGAAATTTAAAAGCATATATCATCAGTGGAAAATAGAAATCAGGTCACTTTGTCTAAATTTGTAAGTAAGAAGCAATAAAGAAGCATATGTCTGTCCTGTCACATATGGCTGTTACAGGAACTGCCATCTTCTCGAAGGCTTACTCTGGAGGAGGAGATGCTCCCCTTCATCTCTTATGTCTCCCTTAATGTCTTATATACTGCCTGCATGTGCACCCAGATAATAGCAAGCTATAAACAATAGCCACAGACAATTGATCTCTCCCTTCTAATGACCCTTCCCAGCTCCTTTTTTGCTACCCTCAATCACGGTGTTTTGAGTAACATTTTGCTCTATCTTTTTACCCGCCCACCCCCACCAGGGTTTCTCTGTATAACAGCTCTGGCTGTTCTGGAACTCACTCTGTAGACCAGGCTAGCCTCTAACTCAACAGAGATCCACCTGCCTCTGCCTCCTCAGTGTGGGGATCAAAGGTGTGCATCACCACTGCCTGGCTTTCGCTAAACTTTTTTTTTTTTTTTTTGGTTTTTTGAGACAGGGTTTCTCTGCAGCTTTGGAGCCTGTCCTGGAACTAGCTCTTGTAGACCAGGCTGGTCTCAAACTCACAGAGATCCGCCTGCCTCTGCCTCCTGAGTGCTGGTCGCTAAATTTTTAATACACAAGTCAAGATTATTTGTCTTGATTCATTGAGTATCTAAACTGAAAATTAAAAACATGTTTGCTCTCTCTCTCTGACTTTCCAACATCAAACCAACCCTGACAGAAAGAGCAGATGCCTTCATGTCGGAGCCCCCAGAGTGCCCCAAGTCACTGCTGTTTGAGACCTCCAGCTGCTGCAGACTGCAGGAGGAAAGAAGAGGCTGTGTTGCTTGCCCAGTGGACCCATGCCTGCTACATGCCATGCCATGCCATGCCAAGCGAACAGGGAGGGTAACCCAAGGTGGTGAAAACTGCACCCGGCTTCATCTCCAGATGTTGTCAAAACAACTTCCCCCAGAACGTTATTAATTTCCAATTGCTGCACTTAGAAACTTATTTCTCTGGAGAGCCGCAGTCAAACATTCCACGCGCAGTACTCTTTATGTGACTTGCTGACGCAACCATCCTAGGAGAGAAAGGAGACATTATGGAGAAGCGGGAGCGTAGCTCAGGTCTGCGCTCAGGTCTGCGTTGCTCTCCTCCTTGAACCTAGATAAAAATGGAATAGGCATGATCTTCTGTCTTGCAGAAGCCTGGACAGTGCTCAGCTCCCTAAATAGTCAAGTGTGTCTGTTCAATTTTTTCAAAGTCTCATTAGTCTAGCATCTCATTGAGGCCTTAGCCACTGCAGCTAGTCAGACAGGGCTCCCCCTGAGCCATGCAGTTTTATTTCTCCCAGCTGAGTGTTTTGTTTTATCTACACTGCCTCGCCATGTGTTTGTCGGTCATATTCCAAGGAAAGAGGTTGGACCCTGGTGACTGATGCTGTCAGAGAGCACTTTCTGGGTCTTGGAAGCGAACACACACCATCTCTCTAATCCTCATAACAA